ATAAATAAATAAACCTAAAATCCCTAAAAATTGTGAAAACTCTAAAAAATAAACACAAAAGTTAAAACTAAATATACACCCTTTGAAATTAATCAGAATATATTCTCTCAAAAAAAAAAAAAATATAAAATCTCTCAAAAAAAGAAATTAATCAGAATATATATAATGTTTGTCCTGAACCTAAATGATAAATAATTAGAGAAATGACATCAGTTCAAATACATATGAAGAGCTTGAATGAGACAAGCATATGAAATGACACATCAGTATCACAAATCAACAAATGCAGCTTCAAGCAGCTGCCAATACATGAATGGTATCCATTGATAAGCCCAATCAACTTGATACATTTCTCATCAAAAAATGATAGCAACAATGACAACAGGCTTGTCAACTACTACCAAAATAAAGGACCTTAAGTGAACCTAATTATGGTTGGACACCTTGGCTTAATGATTAGGCCATAAAGGCCATAGCACTAAGATCCCCAATCAGCAATCTCGCCCAAAAAGAAAAAAGCAATCAAGGAACAACAGAAAAATGGGAACGTAAAATCAAGTTACAAATGCAATCCTGAAACAAAAATGGATACCAAAGGGAAAATGGCAAGATTTTGACATAAGTGCTTGGAAGAAAGGCAAGAGAAGATGGTTTAAACACAGGCGGAATGGCAGAAATGCACCTATTACAGATGATTTAACTCCCAAAATATCTCAAATTCAGAAAAGAAAGGCTCACAAAATTGAGTTAAAAACTTGAACTTTTTCTATATATGTGCAAGTGTGAAAGGCTATGGTTTGATAGTTTGAAAGATGAGGAGGTGGTCTACTTATAAGTTGCTGTAAGAGAAACAGAAGTGATAAGGATGAAAAAAACAGACAAATAAGCATAAATATGCAATTAACCTAGATTCAAATAAACAAATTTGAGAGCAAAATCTAATCATTCTCCAAGCACTCACAAACTATGTTTACTGCAGATTTGTACAATCAATTTCTATGCATTCAAAAGTTACAAAGCTAAAAGGCTCAATCCCTAGTCAATTCCAAGTAAAAAACAACAGCTTCTAAGAAGAACAAGGGTTAGGGCTACTCCAAAAAAAAGAAAAAAATAAATTCTAGGATGAGGAAAATATCTTACCTTTAGCAACGTGCCTGTAATTTGACACCTGATGAGCTTCAAATGGGAGCCTAAATGGACTTTGGAATTTGGATTTCAGCGAATTTGCCAAGGAATCCTCTGCAAATATTGAAAAATAAATGAGAAGAAAAAGACCGAACGAGAAAATTTTGTATAAACATTGAAAATTCCATGATAATCAAAGCTGAAACTGCACGATAACCATGCTTCTAATTCATCACATAAAAAGTGAAAATTCTACAACAAAAACAAGATATAGGAACAAAAAAAAAGCAGATAAACAGAGACCAGACAGGGTTTCGATCTAGCAAACCACCACAAGAAGAGAGAGGGGGAAATAGAAAAGGAACAGAAGGGTCAGATCTGATTGAAGAAGGATGAGGGTTTAGAGAGAAGATGCAAGGAGAGTAAGAGGAAAAACGAAACAACATCAGAGAAGACACTAGGAAATATAGAGAGAGAAACCAGGGGGAACGGTGGGGACGAGAGAGAAAGTACCTGAGATGGAGAGGGAGCAGTGCAACGATGAGTGCAAAGTCTCTCTGTTTCTGCTACCTCTTCATTACCACAAAGAGGAAAAAGTTTTGCAAAACTGAATCACATTTAATCGCGTGGGGTGAAATTGAGCGCCGTACCTTGGAGGTTCCTCTGATTCCCGATGGAAAATGGTTTGATAGGGCTGCGGCCCTATCAAAATAAGTAAAGCCTTACCTCAGAAATCTAAAATTAAAAAGAAAACCTTTATATTGATTATCTAACATTGTCGTTGAGAAAAAAAAAAGAGGATTTCAATGTCTAAATGTACTGTATATTATAGCAAACATCTATACCATTCATTTTGCCTTACATCTACTTGATCTATACCATTTTTTTAGCTTTTTATTTTATTGCCTGTGTTGAAAATTGATTTTAGAGTCTCACAGAGATTTTGTTACTTAAAGTGCTTTCGGGACTAGGTTTTAAGGTGAGGCTTTATTTTGTTTTCATAAAGCCTAAGCCTTATAGAAACTTCATTCATTCTCGAAACTTGGGCCCGACTTGAATTTCCCTCAAGAGCGTGCTCGGTTTACTCCCTTGGGTAAAAGGCATCTAGGATTAGTTTCAAGACCTCAAATTAATCTAAAAATCAAAGTCTTAATTATATATTATAAGCACTTTGCTTACTTTAAATAGTTGAAAAACGACTATGATGATGATGCTACACTCTAAGCACTTCAAAGAATTAAGGTCTTAATAACGAATAGAAACCCTCCAATTTTCAGAGGGTGAAATCTAAGTGTTAGAAAACTCAAATGTCAAATTTTGTTTGGAGAATGCTCATCTAAGGACACGATTTCTATGAGTCCATGAACTCACACGTAGAAATGCGGGCCCCTTAATAATTTATTTTTGAAATAGAAATTGTTCTTAATTTTTAGGAAATATATAATCTTTAACATGGAGATTATTAATCAGTAAAAATAAATAAATTTTAAAAACTAAAAATGATATTTTTTGGAGAAAAAATTTGACCCATTGATTTTACTTTTTTTTTGGCAGACTATTAGTTATGAGTCATGGTTTTGGTGGACAATGTAGATCTTCGAGCCCACATAGTGGTGGGTACGGGCTTGGACGCACCAAACAATTTTCCATCATCTAATGATTCTAAGGTAGTTACCAAACTTTCATATTGACAAAAATCCTCTCAAGTAGGTCATCTGACCGAGGGAGTAGAAGTAAACTATGCTCCCAAGAGAGAATAGTACATGGGGTAGGATGTACTAATCTAATGATTCTAAGGTAGTTACCAAACTTTCACATTGACAAAATCCTCTCGAGTAGGTCATCTGAGTAGAAGTAAACTATGTCTCCCAAGAGAGAATAGTACATGGAATAGGATGTAATAAAATTATTTATTTTTCTCAAGGTGGTCAAAATCACCATAAATTGCTAGATCTGAAATTGGATGGCTAGGGGTGTTTATTGGACGGAAAAGGTTAAAATAAGGCAAAAGTTTTATGGAAAAGAGTAGAGCCTCGCTACAAAATTATAGTTTTTGGCGTTGGAAAACCTTCAAATCGATCATCTCTACCTTACCTATATAGCTATAAAAAAAAAAGATTTCAAGCCCCAAAAATAGTGCATATTATAATATATTATCTAGATCGTCCATTTTCAAGTGTTCATGGTTCATCAAGATCTGTACTATTTTTTGGGTTAATAATTCATGATTAGTGGTGAAAATAGATTTTAGATCTATCTCAGGATTGTCTATGCCCGAAGTGTTTTTCAAGAGCTTTATTTTTATTTCATAATGCTTAGGCTTTGTAGAAACGGCATCTTCAAAGTGAATTGACCTATAGTCATCCATTTAAAATTTTGGGCTTTTATGGGAATTGTGGAAGATAGTGGTACGGTTAATCATATAGGATTTTAAGTATGGGTTTTGAGATCAACATACTCGCTTGCACATATATCATGCTTCATTGAGAGCAATATTGTACATCTACTCCCTCGGTTAGAGTACTTGGAGGTTTTTTTTATATATATAATGAAAATTTGAGAACCACCTAAGAACCATGTTAAAAAAAGTTTGAATTTCGAGTGCACCAACACTGTGATCCTTGCAAAAAAATTGGATGGTTTTTGTTTAATCTTAAGACTTCACTTTTCTTTAGTGTATGGAGAGTACAACTGGGAGTTTTTTCGTATTGAGATTAATCAATGAGTTTAGTCGGTTACATCACCAAAATTTGGGGTCCCAAGATTACATCATCAAATTTTCTACAACCCTTCTGGCATGTAGAAAATGTTATCTAAATTTTTCTTTTTCTTGAGGTTGTTCTCTAAATTGAAGAGGATAAATCCCAATATTTTGAGTCCTTCAATATTTGGTTTTAACCGGCATAGTAAATAGATAGTATGCTCCCATGGGAGCACGAATTTAAAGCAAACATATTTCAATATTCCATGAGATTATAATCTTGTAAAAATGGTAACATGTCCGAGGGTTATCAAACATACCCTGAACTAAACTCCAAAATTTGAGAAGGGGCTAAGGTCGTGGTGGTAGCACCCCACACCAGTCACCACGCCATTCCGATCCCATTAACAACTTCAAAAAACTAACTCCTAATCGACTTGAAAAAACGGGTAGGAGTCTGTCCTCCCCACTGAATTACCCAAAAAAGCAAAAACTCCAAAATTTGAAAGGAAGATAACTCAAAAAATTGAAAAAAAGATTTTTCAGAAGTTCAAAACTTCGTTTTTGGTATAAAAATTTCAATGGGAGCCAAATCAACAAGTAAAACTAAAAAGCAATTGTTTTAGAATTTGGATCGGCCGGGTGAACCAGATATCCAGCCAATTGTTGATTTGAATCGACAAATCAAACCAATTCTCTGGTGCAAGAATCAGTGTAAAAATAAAATAATGAAAAAGTAAAAAATAATATAAATGTTCCTTGACAGAATCACCAGGTTCCCTTAGGGAACCAGATTCCCTATCGGTCTACACCGATTTTCGATCTAGATTGATGGCTCCCGATCCAGATCTCCTGCTTTTTAAACACTAGGAAAATGTGATAGAAGTTCTCCCAACTTGGTCTATAGATAAATTTAAGGACAACGTGGTCCTTATTTCCATTAATTATTTCCCATATTTTATGTTGAAGTATATATTTTTTTAACATTTTCCATTTTTTCCGTAATATATCAGGAAAAAACACTGGTTTTGTTGATATAAAACACTGGTTTGGAACTACTGGTTTACAATTAGCACTTATGAACCATTGTCTATAGCTCAAAAAGTTTTTCTATAAACCCTAGGGCCCTGAATACAATAGGAAAATTTACATAAGGACCTGAAAAAAGATGGTGTGTCTTTCACGGTCTACATTTTGCATTCATACCAAGCATAACGCTAGCCATAAAACAAAGCAACAAGCTTACAACATACACAAGATTAAGAATGCTAGCATATTGAGCCATGATTCATCGACCTACAATTCACAATCTCTCTGACTCGCAATTTCAGAATCTCTTTCACTCAGAAAACCATGTCTCAATTCTCTGTCTAAAATATAGGAATACATGTGATCAGCATTGCCGAAACAATTGATATACAGGAAACTGAGGCCGGGAAGCGTCCCTTGTCTCTGCGGATAAACAGAGCCTCCAGTATCGGAAAACATATGCTCACAATGAACCCAGAAAGGATCAATTGAGCCATCAAAGAATCAAGTGCTGATGATCCTTGTGTTATAACTCTCTTTAGGCCTAATGCAAATGCAATTAGGTTAAAGAGAGGCAATGTGGCCACTATGACAAACATTGGAGATGCAACACCAAATTCCATGATCTCTTGTTCATATCTCCTCATTGCATCCTCATCAGAGGCCTTGTTCGAGATTTCAAAACCACTCTTTCCCAAACCAACAAGCCTAAAAATGTTGTCCATGAACCCAAAGAGGAAGGAGCTCACCCTTTTTATCATCCACATCCTCTCATCGTTGATCCAGCACTTGACTGTTCCTTTGGACCACAGCATTTCATAAAGGCTGTACCCATATGCACTAAATGCCACAAAAGCATAGGGCATACACCATGGGCTGGTGACCTAGAACAAGGAAGGAAGAGTGAATTCTTAATGAATTGTATTGGTCAAAGGAATAATGAGAGAGGAGCACCTATAGCGTGAGCCTGCAGGAGTAAACTGTGGGATTACACCCTCAGGTGAATTCGCCACCTGGTAGTATTTTTTGACATGAAACTTTTGGATGTATTCTAAATTTACAAGATGAGTCTTTTTCCTTTTTAAACAAAAAATTATCAAATCACATCTAAAAGTCGAATTATTTAACATTTCACTATAGGTTATCTAACATTTCACTATAGGTGTGATTTAATCAATTTTAAAGGGTGTGGTTTGTATAAGACCACTATTTTAAATAATGAAAGTACGCGCTTCTTTAAACTAAATGAAAGATGCAGTTCGAATTCCAAAACTCTCATAATAACTAATTATGAATTTAAAGATCCAAAAAATGGTGCTCATCAAGTAGATATATAAATTCTTGAAATCTTAAAAGTAGATAGTTTAAATAGTTTGTCACAAGAGACCTTATTTTTTAAACTTGGAATCCTTTTTTCATGTGCATACACATCTTGAGATTATAATGATCAATTGGAGGGTTTTTCAAAGTCAAAATGACTTTTTCCAATGGGGTTGTTTTATTTGGGGGCTATTTGCAATGGGAAATTATAGAATAAGACCATTTACCTTTGATACAAAGTGGTCACATTAATCTTGACCATTGGACTACAATTATTCCATTAACCAAGCTCAAACTTTAAAAATAAATTTTCTCAAACTTTGTGATACATCCAATCTATCAAATTTCACATCAAATGGTTGTAAGAAATTGTGACCAACTTGTATAAAAGGTAAAAAGTATCATTGTATACAAATCCCATTTGACATTTGTAAAAAGAATGAAGGGTTATTTGAAATAAATCGGTAGATATGGGGGGGGGGATGTTAAAAAACCTCAACTCTTGGGTTTAATTTGATCAATTTCCTTAAAATTTAAAGTAAATTTGAACTTTGAGTTTCAAAAGATCAATTTCCTTAAAATTTAAAGTAAATTTGAACTTTGAGTGTCTAAACACTTAAGAATTGATAATCCAAAAATTAGGCAGTCTCTATTGAATCTTAGCATGTTACTTTTTTTCGTGCACAGCATAATGCCAGACCCACGCTTCTTTTTTTTCGTGCACAGCATAATGCCAGACCCACGCTTCTTTGTTTTTTCAGTTGTTCACGATGTGGAAGAGGTTATATCCCAACTTAATCCTAGATAGGATCGTACCAAAGGAGTGAATGGAAGATATATAATACCAGAGAATAGAATTTAAAGGTATGTTCGAAAAATGCAAGGAAAACGTTTCTTGGAAATGGGAAGTTTTTTTTGTTAGGAAGAAAGAATATCTGTGATGGAAGTTTTAGGTGTC